GGGGCAGGACAAGCTAGGTGCGCTCGCGACATATCTGACGTCCTACCCCTCCCTCCCATCCCTTACCATGGCGCTGATTTTTTCTATCCGCGGACGCGTCTCGTAGCAGACCTGTGGCTCCGCGCGCGCGTGCGTAGTGGGTGGTGGTGCGCGTGCGTGCGTGCGTGCGTGCGTGTGTGCGTGGTTGTGGTGGTGGTGGTGGTGGTCGTGGTGGTGGTGGAGCTGGTGGTGCTGGTGGTGGTGGTGGTGGTGCTGGTGCTGGTGGTGGTTGTGGTGCTGGTGGTGGTGGTGGTGGTGGTGGTGGTGGTGGTGGTGGTGGTGGTGGTGGAATGGTGGTTGGTGGTGGTGGGGTGGTGGTGGGTGGTGGTGGTGGTTGTGGTGGTGGTGGTGGTGGTGGTGGTTGTGTTTGGTTGTGTGTGCGTGGTGTGATGTGTGCGCGTGTGCTGTGGCATGGCACGGGAAATGACGCCAGCGCTGCAACGGGAGCACGAGTCGAAACGGGCGGAAGCGCGGAAATGAAGCCATCGCTGCAGCGGGAGCACGGTCCGGAACGAGCGGAAGCACGGAAATGAGGCCAGCGCTGCAGCGGGAGCACGATTCGGAACAAGCGGGGCCCGAAAATGAGGCCGGCGCCTCAGCGAGAGCAGCATTTTGAAACAAATGCAGGCGAAAACCCAACTCCTGGGAATCCTGTGTGTAAAAAAGCAGGACGCGGGGGGGGGCGGCTACTCCCAGCACGCCATCAGGGTAAGAGGGAAAGTAGTATTCACATTGAGTAACTGTGGAGGAGGAGGAGGAGGAGGAGGAGGAGGAATAGGAAGAGGAGGAGGAGGAGGAGGAGGAGGAGGAGGAGGAGGAGGAGGAGGAGGAGGCAAGCGTTCAATGACGACGACGACGACGTCCCGCCCTACCCAGCGAGGCCCGCCTGTGTGGGGGTCGGCGCCGTGAGGTGCAGCTCCCGCAGTGCTGCGGCTGCTGCATCAAAATTGACACGAGAAACAAGGAGAGTGGACCGCGGGAGGTGACGAAGGGAGTGATAAACATGACATGCAATGAACACTTCCTCCAGAACAGATACGGTGCAAATCGGGATCCCCCACCTGGCCAATGGGTCCGACGAGAGCCATCTATATCGCAACACAGTTGAAACAAACATAGCAAGGCGAGGGCAGCTGGCATAGTGGATCTGACGATCAGGCTCCCCCTCGCAGCCAAAAGTGCACCCCCTGCGGCCGCCGTCGCGCAGGATACGATGGGAGGTGAGCCACGCTCCACTTAAAGTTCGATGCCACGACCACGCCCAGGACGGAGGGACCGTACGGAGGACACCCTGGATGCTGGGCCAGTCGATGGCCTTGATTTCATCGGACCGCTCGGGCCACCACTTCAAGAGACGGGATTCGTACAACTCGCTCGGGCTACTGTGGGGCCAGCACTGGATACAAGCTAAGTTCGCAGCCCTCTGTAGCTTCAGAACGTTTTCGCGGCAGGCGGCAGCTGCAGCAGCGTGCATGGGACCTCCGACTCCGTGGTCAGCATCATGCAGAAATTCAACGAACGCTCGGCACTTCCAGTGCCGTGGGTGCCGCTGTCCAGCTGGCACCACTGTCAGGCGGCATTCGTCAAGCTCGTTAGACATGGGCGTGTCTGTCATCCTCAAGAGCCAACGATCGATTCGGTCATATTGCGGTAATGTCGATCGGGCCGTCCGAGCGAGAGTCGAAATACTAAGTGCCTCAAGCGGGCAAACCCGTGGAGCATTCCATTCCTGCAGATGCGCCCAGTCCCGAGCACGGTATGCACCGAGCGGAAGGCGGAGCGCCTGGGCCAACGCACCTTTCTCGGCGTCCTTCAGAGCTGTCGGCAACGGCAAAAAATACATGACATAGCTGAGGAAAGCGACCGCACGGGTCGAGTACAAGACCGCAGAGGAGGATGCAGGGGCATTGCCAGCACCTATAGCAGCAGCACGGGCTCGATATTTCTCGCGGGGAAGGTTCCAAGAATCGGTTAGCTCAATCGCGGGGCCGATCCACGCCCCCAGGTGCAACAGTTTAGCTTCGATGCGGAACTCGGACCACTCAGGGATAAACATGTTCAGGAACTTTTGGGCCCGGTCTCTCAGCTCGGGTGTAAACGGACCAGAGACGGGGGTCATCGCACATTTAGCAGGTTTGAGGCAGAGATGCGTGGTCATCTCCGCGACTTTCACCACCCGCCGAAGCTGCAGCAGCAGGCGGATGTCCGACAAGGCTCCACCCAAGTCGTCCGCGCAGGCGCGGTTGACACCCCTCCGCGGAACCTCGAAACTGCGATTGAGATCGAGCAGGGCTGGCGCGAGGGCAATCGCGAAGGGCGATCCAGAAAGAGCACGTCCTTCGATAATCCCAGAACGAATCCCGAACGCATGAATCAAAATCCCCTGGGCCGACATCACTCCCTCGATGCAATCATGCAGCGTCTGAGCAAACGCCAGAAACCCAAGCGGGCACCCCATCTTCTTCAACGCCAGAGCCGCGAACTCTTGGGACAGGCCGGGGAACGCGTGGCGGTAGTCCAGGGCATGCAGCATTGAACAACGGTCATCAGCCTCTGGTCGGGCAGAGTGCGCGCGAGCGAGGGCGTCAACCTCTAAGATTTTCTGGCAAAAATTCTACCCTTCATGAAACCACGTTGGCCCTGAGGAAAGGATCGAGCGAACGGTTTTCTGATCGACATGTTCATAGTGGCCGTTGGCAGTTTGATACTGGTAGTTCGAAGCCCAAGGACACGCACCGACGAAGCTTCTCTCTCACAGTCGCCCTCTTTCGTATCCGTGCTAGACTCTCCCTTCGGTAAAGAAAGGCTTGCAGCGTGGCGCTCTCGGCGGCGGGGGCGCTGTAACCAACCGCCATCCACCGCAGTAAACCACGCAACAGTCCGCTCGGGTGGGCCAGCCAAGACGCATCACATAGGCGGTCAACTCCAGGAGCTGAGTCGCTCACCGAGCGCGCCGCCTTCTTCAGCGTGGCGAACGACGGCGGCGGGCAGTCGGCGAAGTCGACGGGGCGAACGAAGCGATCACAGTAACCATTGGCAGTTTTACAGGGCCATGGTCTCCTGGAAAAGATCGGCCCCCAATGAGATGCAAGAGCAGCGTGTCGATCTTGTTCCTCCGCCTTCCTCCGCCCCTCAGCATGCGCAGCACGAAGCGTGAGCCGACGAGCGAGAGGGGCCCATATCCTCGCCTTCCTCTCAATAGCCTGAAGCTGCTGACGTTCACGCTGGCGCGCTCCCACCCCCTCAGCACGTTCGAGACGGGCGCGAGCAGCGAGCCGATCGAGGTTAGCAGCTTGAAGTTGCACCTTGTTCGTCCAGCTCTGAAGCGCAGCAGGGTGAAGAAGTGGGACCTGGCCAACTTCGACTGTGATAAAATCAGCGGCTGCGGCATGGGAGCCCTGAAGACGTTCGGCCGTGGCCGCGTCCTGGCGCCACGCCGTCCGAGCCAGTGCGCGCGCGAGCAACAAAAGTGTGCGGGGGTCCGTCGGCTTGCGATGCATCAGCATGTCCCTCGCTTCCCCCCCACCTTCCCGCATCAAGTATTTTTGTCTCATCGAGCGCCTTGGCGGACACATGGCCGACAGAGAGGCCTCCTCCGCATCAAGAGACTTGGCGAGACACTGCTTATACTCTGGCGAACAGTACACGTGTCTAGGGATAGGACGCTCTCCTGGCTCCTGGGGCTCCCGCTGGCACATCGAAATTGTTAAGGCAGCATGATCGCTTATTTTGGCACGATGAAGATGTTCAGGCAATCCCTCCACTCGAGCGCAAGCATACACCTGAGCAAGAACCCAACCAGGCCAGGAGCACCAGAATCTGTCAATCGCGGCCACCGCCTCCGTCTGCTTATCGCAATGAGTCGCTGGCGCCGGCGAGATCTCAACTCGGCCATCCAGCGCGTCAGCCCACCGAGGGGCCTGGGCGCGAAGTGGCCGTGCGATCCTCTGAGCCTCCGAGGGCTGCGAAAACGGAAGCTTGTCCTCGGACGCAAAATTGAAATCGCCATGCACCACTACTATGACCGATTCAGGAGACGATTCGGCCAGGGTCCGACCCCGATTTATCTGATTGCGCACGTACCTTACTTGTTCTGAGGACAAATCATGATTATGCACGGTATAGTGAATAAGTTGCGCGTCTTGATGTTCGAAGACAGCGCGGATCACACGGCCATCGACGAGAGCGAGAGGGGCGGCAGAGACGCCAGGAGGCAGGGAAGGATTACGACGGCCTCTAGTCAAAATCCCCGGGACGACCGTGGCAAGCCCACCACGGATCCGCCCTGCACGGTCCTCGCCACAGAATCTCGAGTAAACCGGAGCACCAGGGAGAACGCGTCTAAGAAAAGGAATTAGTTAAGGAATTTGTTGTGCCTCACACGGATGAATCTCCTGCAAGGCGGTGACTGTCGAGCCCAGTCGGAGCCTCTGGAGGTAAGACAATTTCTCACATGCGCGGGCCCCCTCATATTGCAGGAGAGCACGCGAGTTCCACGACGTGAAACGCAGGCCGCCAGCTGCGGCAGCGTCGCACAAAAATGGCAGCTGCGATCGCGCAAAGAGCGCGGCGAAGCGGCTAAAGGCGCCACTGCGGCTCTCGATCTGGCTGGAGCAGCCCACCTACAGCCTCGACCAGCAAATCCTCCGACTTGCCGTACTTCGTGATGGTGCCAGGGTTCCAGAAGATCTCTGCCTCCTCGCGCCCAGGGAGAACCTCAATCTTGCACAGGGCACCCCAGCCGAGCGAGAGCCAGCCGCGGTCCCTGTCGAAGGAGATCTTCTGCTCATGGCCGTGGACCTCCTGCAGCTTTGCGCGCAGCTTCCTGTCTGTGATCTCCTTCTTGATCTGCTTCGGGTTCTTGTCGCCCGAGATGTGCAAGCGCGTCGTGCCGCCCGCCTGCGTTGGAACTTCAAACTCACGCCACTGCGTGCCCGAGATGCGCAAGCCGCTGAAGATCTTCTGCACGTGCCTGGAAGCCAGGCCCGTCGCCCCTGAGATCTGCAGCGCAAACATCTTGGCGAGCGGGCCAGGTGAAGATAACGACCACATATCCCCAGTGATCTGCATCTCCTCCAGCCGCGGCGCGACGACGTCACACCTCCTACCGCTGGGCAAGACGCCCAACATTGATATTGACAACCGTCGCGTCGACCTCTCTCTCGAACGACGTGTGTCTAGCCAGCGCCTTCGGAGCAGGGCGCTGTGAGTTGGCGACAACCAATGCCGCCTGGAGCTCCTTGATCTGGCTTTGCATCTCGCCCAAGGGCCGATCGTGTTCTGTAACCTTCGAGTCCACCTGCGTGATCTCGCCGCGGATCTCGTCGCGCCGCTGCAGGACCTCCGCGCGCAGCGCGCCGAGCTTGGGTGTGACCACGGCCGCGATATGCTGGTCCATGCGCTTCGGGAACTCGTCCATGTCCTTCTTGCACGCAGCCATGCACCTGTCGAAATTCGCCTGGAACGCGGCCGTGATGGGCGCCGTCTCCTCCTGCGTCGCCGACTTGACCGATGAGCCCGCGATCTTGTCGACCTCCAACTGCACGTCGTGGAGGCGAGTGTTGACCGCGTCGAAGCACAGAGCGCGCACATGCGCGCCGTCGAAGTCGCCGTCGCTGTCCTCTGCGTCCATGCTGTGACGTGCAGGCTGACCTGGGGGGCCCCATCAGAGCCAGTGCCAGCAGCAGTGGCGCGGTCAGCCGAACGACGGAGAGGGCCCTTGGGCGGCTTGATGACCCTCCTGCCAGGCGTGCCAGGAGCCACTGTACCCCGCGGGGTGGATGGAGTCGGCGAGGATGCGTTCCCACCAGCGGACATGAGCGAGAAAACTATGGTGCGAGAGAAAAAGCTGCCGAAGTGCGGGGGCCCAAATCCCGCGGTGACGGCTGCAGAGAGATGCCGGGCAGAACTGCCTTGCCAGCCGCGGTCTAGCGGTGCCCCCTTCAGCCTTGGGGCTAGCAGCCCCCGAAGACATGGGTCTCGAGCCAAAATGGCCACGGGGGAGGGGGGGGGAAGAGGAAAAGGGCGAGGGGGAGGAAGAGGAGGAGGAAGAGGAGGAAGAGGGGGAGGAGGAAACATAAAAAGATGAAGAGGAGGATTAGAAGGCGGATGGGGGGGAGGAGGAGGAGAAAGACAAGGAGGAGACAGGGGGAGGAGGAACACAAACACTGAGACGAGGGTGGGGAGACGGAGAAGGAGAAGGAGGAGGAGGTGGAGGGAGGAGGGAGGAGGAGGAGGGAGGAGGGAGGAGAGAGGAGAGAGGAGTAAACAGGAGAGAGGAGGGAAGAGGGATGAGGGAGGATGGCGGCGGGAGGAGGGGGGGGGGGGGCGGAGGAGGAGAGCGAAGCACGGCGTGCAAATTCGGGCACAGGAAGAGGACCACGCACGTGGTCAGCTGGCAGTTCGTCTTGAGAGGCGACGAGGGAGTCAAGGTGTAGCAGCATCCACCGTATCATTTCACGGCTAGATTCTTGTAGAACAAGGTATATAATGTCCAATGCCCTCATCGCGCATTCGATCTGCCGGTTGAAAATCTTGCCACGCGGCGAGAGGTTGTCGGCCGACGCAGGGGCGCCCTCAGCAGCCGCGCATGGGGCAGGCGCAGGGGAAGCTGTCGATGTCAGGCGCGGGTCAACACCTTGGCTTAGAATCTCCAGGGTCAGTTGGAGAGCAATCGAAGTGTGCGGCAGAAGGCCAGTTACTCCCATCATCACGTCCACGTGCGCGTGCTTGTTCCTCATCTGGGAGTTGCGGGCAGGGGCAGGAATAACGCCAGGAGCATGCACGCTGCGTGGTGGTAGTTCTTCAGCGCGGCCACCCCCAAGACCATGGAGAGCGTGTTCAGGAGCAGGAAAAGCAGGTGGGGGTCGATCCACTGGTGGAGCACCCAGTTCTTGTGGGCCAGGGAGATCTTCGGAGGCCGCTTCAGAGACAGGGGGGGGGGGGGGGGGGGGGGCAGGCGGAGGTTCCAGAACAGGAGGAACGGCGCGATCAGCTCGAAGGGCGGCCCCGGCGGAGCCGTCAGGGTAGATGACGCCGAACCCGTGCGTAGCGATCATTGCATCAACATTATCATCAGCATTCGCTGACCCACCCGACGAGCTGCCAGTGCTCTGCGGCGCGGGAACGGGGGGGGGCCACAGGCCGAGGGGCATCGCCCGAAGGCCCAGCTGCAGGGTCGGGAGATAGGCCGTCGTCGGCATCATGACGAGAGCGGCGCAGAACACGAAGAAGCTGTCGTTCAACTTCATCATCGCTGAGTAGTGACCCAGGATGCGGTGGGTGTTCATCGCCCCGCATGGCGATATCCACCTCCTGGCTTGACGAGAGGTCGCCTTTACCTTCGCCCTCCGCCATGAGGGCGAGATCCAAGTCGGAGGGGTTCGGGGCTCCCTCGTGGTCGATGCTGGCGTTCTCTTCATCAGGCGGCGGTTCGCTTTGAGCGTGAGCTTCGAACGTCAAGTCGATGAGCAGGTGCGGCAGGACGTAGAGGTGCGGCATGAGCGCAGGAGGAGCGAACGGCGGAGCCAAGGCGATCTGCGCGAGGGAGTCGTCTTGGTTGGCAGCTGACATGCGCGACGGAACGGCACGCCACCCAATTTTTTTTTTTTTTTTTTTTTTTTTTTTTTTTTTTTTTTTAAAAAAAAAAAAAAAAAATAATTTTATATATATATATATATATATATATATATATATATATATATATATATATATATAGGTGTGCCATGGCAAGCAGGCGAAGCCGACGCGACCGTTTATCATCATGTACAGGCCAAGGGTCACTGAGCAGACGTCGTAAATGCTCACGAGCAATAGCGCTGTGGTGCCACCCACTGAGACACCAGTCAAGAGCGAGCTGCCGCCTGCTCGCGGAGTCGCTGCAGAGGCCTTGACGATCATCATACCTGATAACGTTCTCCACATACTCAGGGCACCATTGCATCCATTGATCGAAATCAAAGCCGTACATGTTCACCATCAGCGTGGGGATCCACGAGCGAGCCCACGCCACAATTCTGTCCTCAAGCGCCTGACGGCGAGCAGCGATAGGAAGGCCTGTCTCCTCCGCTGGCGGGACAAAGGATTCAAAGAGCGCAGGGAGATCCGCTTCAGGAAGTGCAGACGTGGACGGCGTGTCGCTACCAACTTCCAGTTCCTGCCCGCCCATGAGGTTGCGCGGTTCAGTCGTATTCCCACGGCGCCCCATCATTGGTCGCAATGATACTACCGATGGAGAAGGAGTGCTCGTCGTTGTTGTATATGAAGTGCTGGCAGTGGCCCCATTGGCGACAGCCGCAGGCTGAAAGAGGAAGCCCAGAGCGAGGGCGATCATAGGCGGTAAATCAATGGATATCCCAGCTTGACCCGTGCTACTCTACGGGCGTACCATAAAGCAAACCGGTGATAAAAAGCAACGGGCAACGGAACGCCACGCTTCTTCCTTTGGGAACACCTCATCAATCTGTTTCCCACCCATTTGTAATTCAGAGACAATTCTGTCGCGATAACACGCGAGTGGCACCCCCAGATCGTTCGTGTCCGTAGTAAAGGAAGCAGACGCCAGCGCTGATGGAAGGCAGCGAAGGAGAGACAATGATGATCTCGGTGAAGAGCCCGAAGAGGACGAACCCTCAGCAAGAGCCAAAGCGCCCTCAATGATTTCGAAAGTCGGTGTTGATGGTGAGGGACGGAGTATGTCGCTCGATAGCGGTGAGGAGGAATATCCGGAAGAGAACGAGGAAAACGAAAACGAGGGTGAGGAAAAACATGATGATCCGATTATCTTGCCAAGTCGCGCGCGCCCAACACACCTTGTCCCCAGGGGTGCTCTCGATGGCGCAATAGCACCTAGCTGTGCAGTGCGAATAGCTGCCTTGACAAAGGAGCGCGCCGCCTCTCGCCTCCAAACGTGAGCGGCTGACGAATGTGCTGCGCCAATATATGTGTAGTACATCACAGTGACGTCAAAAACGATCTTGTCCAGTTCAACAACCGAGCCCAAAAGCCCCAGACGACCCAGCGGTGAGGAGGGCCGCGAGTAACCAAGCTCCTGTTCCAGAAAAGAACGAGATGGTTTGCACTGTAAGAAGTGGTGAACAGCATCAGGTTCGCGCGGGCAACCAAATCGGCACGAGAGGCGCCCGTGTGGCTGTAGTATTCTGTGCGAAGTCGCCCAGCCATTGGCAAACGTCCTGGGGTAAACGAAGGCCAATGGAATTGAGCATCCGCGAAGATATTTAAATATGTGTACCCAGCGTTGTGCAGGAACATGAGAGTCGCCAGTCACCCCAGCTCGGGGAAGCGGTTGATGAGACGAGCCTCCAGGAAGGTCCACAGAGGGAGGTGGCAGATGCGTGTCTTGATCATCTTGGTAACGCACCGTTGCAAGCCCATCGACGTGGGCGGCAATGCTTGTCATCGATCAGCTTCTGCACTGCCTCAGGCCAGGAGTGCCTGCGAGTACTCAAGGAAGATGTTGGAAGCAGAGCAGTCTCGGACTCTGGCCAGCGTTTCGACAAACGCCTCATATCGCCAGAAAGAGGAAGAGGAGGAGGAGAAGGAGGAGGAGGAAGAGGAGGAGGAGGAGGAGGAGGAAATGGGATGACGATGGTGATGATGATGATGAGGAGGAGGAGGAGGAGGAAGAGGAGGAGGAGGAAAACGAACAGGAGGAGGAGGAGGACAAGCTACGTGCGCTCGGGTCGCATCTGACATCCGACCCCTCCCTCCCATCGCTTACCATGGCGCAGATCTCCTCTGGGCTCGCACAGTCGGATGTCGAGCAGGGCAATGATCCCGAAAAGGGTACGCGATGCACTGTAGAGCACGGCGTGGCATGGCGTAGAAGAGCACCGCAAACCGTAGTATCAACCTAACATTGCATTGCATACCGTGGCATGGCACGGTAAATGGCGCCAGCGCTGCAGCGGGAACGCCAGTCGAAACGAGCGGAAGCGCGGAAATGATGCCAGCGCTGCAGCGGGAACACGATTCGGAACGAGCGGAAGCGCGGAAATGAAGCCAGCGCTGCAGCGGGAACACAAATCGGAACGAGCGGGGCCCGAAAATGAGGCCCGCGCTTTAGCGAGAGCAACAGTTTGGACCATGCGAGCGAAAACCCAACTCCGGGGAAACCTGTGTAAAAAACAATACGCGGGGGGTGGGTCGGACACTTTCAAGCCGTCATCAGGGGAAGAGGGAGAATAGTACTCATATTGATTAACTGTAGAGGAGGAGGAGGAGGAGGAGGAGGAGGAGGAACAGGAGCAAGGAGAGGAGGGGGAGTAGATGGAGAAGGAGGAAGAGGAGAGGAGGAGGAGGATAAGGAGGAGGAGGAGGGGGAGGAGAAGGAGGAGGAGGGGGGGGGGAGGGGGGATGGGGGGGGGAGGGGGAGGAGGCAGGAGGAGGAGGAGGAGGAGGAGGAAGAGGAGGAGGAAGAGGAGGAGGAGGAGAAGGAGGTGGAGGAGGAGGGCGAAGAGGAGGAGGAGGGCGAGGAGGAGGGGGGGAGGAAGGAAAGGAGGAAGGATGAGGAGGAGGGAGGGGGGAAAGGAATGAGGAAGGGGGGGGGGGGGGGAGGCAGGTGGAGGGGGGGGAGGGAGGAGAAGAAGGAGGAAGAGGAGGAGGAGGACGATGAGGAGGAGGGGGAGGAGGAG